TGCTTTTGTCCCGGGCATTCTATAATTTCCCATTCTGCGTTTCCTTTCCCATGAAAGTAACCGCTGGCTTTGTCATCAGAACCAAGTTTATCCCTGTATTAGTTAGTTATTTCACTTGTTCTCTGTCTTTTTTCTGTACCATATCTATGCTAGAAGAGAAGCAAAAGTTTTGTGTGAAATATTATGGTTAACCAGGGAGAAATATAGTAAGTTCAGTAGTGTAATAAGGGGTGGGTGATCAGGGCACCAGCCTTAGGTGACACCTTAGAGATGGAAGAATGGCAGCTGCTGTCACAGCCAACCTTGCCACCACAGCTTCTGCAGCCAGCTCACCCGAGGCCCCAACTTTCCACCACCACTGCCACCCAAGGCACAGGCCCTGGTTGTTAAGCCTTTTGAGTAAGTGGGTTTGAGTGCAGTGAACCTTGAGGTTTATGCTCTTCAGGTCAAAACCCATGTTCTGTTTCTTTTCGGTCAAGGCTTTTTTCATAGACATTGGGGCTGGAAAGGACCTCGCTAGATCACTGGGTCTAGCCTCCTGCCCAAGGGGCAGGAAGTCATCTGGGATCATATGGTCCCAGCATGATAGGTATCCAAGTGCTTCTTGAAAGTGTCCAGAGTAGGTGCTTGCATCACTTCTGGAAGGGAGTCTATTCCAGGCTCTGGGGACACTGACAGTAGACAAGTTTTGTTTTTTTTGTTTTGTTTTTTTTCTTGTGTCCAGCCTAAAACGGTCATCCCAGAGTTTGTGACCATTAGACCTTGTCTTCCCTTGGGGTGCCCTGGTGAACAGATGTTCTCCCAGCTCCTGATGCACACCCCTTATATACTTATAGGCTGCCACCAAATTTCCCCTGAGCCTTCGCTTCTCCAGGCTGAAGAGTCCCATGTCCCTCAGCCTGTCTTCATAAGGCCTGTTCTCTTGTCCTCTAATCATGCATGTGGCTCTCCTCTGGACCCTCTCAAGCTTCTCCACATCCTTTCTAAGAGCAGAGCCTAGAACTGGATGCAGTACTCCAGCTGCGGCCTCACCAGGGCTGAGTACAGTGGGAGGATGACTTACTAGGTCTTGGTTGAGATGCATCGGTAAATGCAAGCCAGGGTTTTGTTTGCTTTGCCAGCTGCGGCATCATGTTGGTGGCTCATGTTCATGTTGTGGTCAATCTTGACCCCCAAGTGTCTTTCGATTGTGGTGCTAGTGAGTGTAGCACTGCTGAGCCTATAAGTATAATGTGGGTTTTTTCCTCTCAAGGTGGAGCACCTTGCATTTCTCAGTGTTGAATGCCATCCTCCAAGGTAAAAAATCAGTCGCTTCCACAGTAATTTATGATGACAGTGTGTGGAACTAATCGGAAGGAAATGCAGTTGCCATGGGATGTATGTTTTTGAGGTTTAATTGTGAGAGGTTTTTTCCACATGACAAATCACCCTGACACATGGACATACACGCAGATCTCTGAATACCTTTCCAGAAATATTTTAAGGAAAAAAATCAAATGGGTAGGATTTGAAGAAAAAACCCCAAACCTCAGCATAAATTACAGCTAAATCAAATTCCTATAATTTTTAGTAGTATCATAATTAGACCACATTTGAAAATCTTGCTTTCTGCCTCATACCTCTGGAAATCCCTAAAAATAACAAACTAAAGTGCACATTATCTGCTTTCTCTAATAACCAAACTACAGAGAAAACAAAATTGAGCCTGATCCTTGTTCCTGTTTCTTTATTTGATTTTACTGTTTATTGGCTTAAGTCCTGTCATTTGCAAGGATTCTTTTAGGCTGACTGCTGGTTCCCTAAGGCAGTTTCA